TATATATGTTGAAAATGTTAATGTGCTCAAGTTCATAAGCTTGAAATGTGAAATGAAAGGGGGGACGGAGGGGGAGAAATGTTAGAGAATGTGACAAATATTATGAACGTGAAAGATATTTTATGTGCAATACAAGAGGAGATAGAGCATGTGCACTCAGGTATATGTATGTATTCATGTACTATTAATCTGTGCATATAATACGTGCCTTAATCGATGTGAGATGATATATGAAAGTCCAAGTGGAAGTGGAGTTATAAGGGGTTTTGGGAATATGTATACAAAAGGAGGTATAAGGAAGCATTAAAATATGTGAATGTTATGTTGTGTTATTTATATTCTGATATTATGTCCAAGTAAATGTTTATGCTACGAAATCATGTTTAGATTATGTTGTGAGTTGTTAATTCTATTTTGGAAATATGTTCAAGCAATATATATATTGTTATTATATATGCATAGTTTTAACATCTCTCTAGTACAGATACAAAATTATTAAGTACATTGTTCAACACCCATATAAGGATGATCCACTTTTAAATATGATTAATGTATTATAGGTTTATATAGAAGATGCTTCTTATATAAATATATTGAAATCTGCAGTAGTATGTTCTGGATGACATATTGAGCAAGTTGTTGCTCACCCTATGTGTTTATAAATATTTTCAGGAAAAGGTGAAGCCTCTGTTGAATAAATTGAGATGATAGAGACAATTAACCAAGTTGAGACCCAGATTTATATATGTTTATTATTTGTATTCTTTTATTAGTCATGAGCATATTTATGTTTTGATGAAAAGAAAATTGAATCATGATTAATGCACATGAGTCTTTTGAAAGTACAATTAATGTACTAAAATGAAATCGATCTTCTGTTTACGCTTATATTGAATGATTTAGCATGGCTCTATGTTGTGTATCTTGAGAAAATTATAGAATATAAAGCAAGAAAAATTCTTTCAATTAGGTCATGGGAAGTAACAAGTCAGATGTCATAGTTTTGACACGGTATAACCTTTTCAGGTGTAACAGGTTGTGTTGGGTTAGGTTATGACATAAGCAACGCCTAAAAGACTGACACAATCAGAGCTCCTCACATTCCATCATAAGATACTAGAAACAGGTGGTTTGTTTGAGTGAAGGCAGATATGGAATGTAAAAATGTGAAGTGTGCAGGGTTGGCCATGGATTTGCAGGTTCAAGCAGCAGGAACTGCTGCTAAATAAAATTCTAAGTAGCAGAAACGTGACATCAAGTTCTTAACTAATCGAAACAACTAACTAATGAAGATGGTTCAGAAAATATTAGTAACCATGAAAAAAAAAACACATGTACCTTCTCATTATGATTTTTTATAAGCTCTTCTTTGTGGGAGACTTTGGCTAATTTTGATAAGGGCAAGTACAAATTTTTGCATGTCAAAAGGCAAATAAAAGCAAGATCAGTAGAGTGGTAAATTAATTTTTTAATTTTGTATATGAAGCCTTTGTAAGGAACCCTATCAGAATTACTCCGTATTTTAGACTGAGCTAACCATCAAAGCAAACATCGTGTTCAATCGTGCTGTGAAGGAGTTGCTGATCTATTCTATAATGTGGAGATTTTAAGCTGAAGTATGTTCAAAATGAAGAATGACATGGAATTCTGATTCTGGCGACTTAATCTTCGACGGATCTGTGTAAAATTCAGAGGAAAATTTGATATAATCTGGATACAGATAGCGTTCGATAAATTCTTACCTAAAATTAATTATTTAATCAATGAAAAATAACGCAGCATAAGTGCATAACTGCTTTCATAAATTTTGAACAAAATCAATGTAAATGATTCCAAAGTATATTTTGGTTTTTATAGCTAACATGAAGTCATCGATGCCGACAGTACTTTTATTATACAGTTTGGAGGAAGTACTTGATAAAAGTTGGACAAACTAGTGTTGATTACTGTTCCTTCACTTGTAAAAACGTAAAGAAGGAGCCTTCACAAGCAGCAGCATTATATTAAAAAAAACGTAATAGAAGTGAGTTGGGTTGGCTTTGAACACGCTCTTTTTAAATGATAATATGAATGAAGTGGCTTCAGTGCTTGCTGCTTGGGAAAGTTGATGCTTGACACGTTGAAGGGAGGACTGTGAGGTCCAATGCCACATTTGGAGGAAGAGCCCGCATATGTCAGTGTAGCAGGTGGCTAAGGTGACAGTGTAGCTGGTGGCTATGAATTTTGAATTTTTTTTTTTTACCAGCGGGCCTTTAAATTTTATTATGGGAAGGCTAAATCCGGGTCAGTCGGGTCAATTTCGTTTACGGTTGACTGGACCCGGATCCACGTTTATTAAAGCGGGTCGAAAATTTGGACCAAAATCCAAGTCCGACGCGTTTATTTCAAACAGGAGTGCCATAATATACCGCGATATTTATCGGACGGTTGTTCGGTCGGTGTTTGACGGGTCTAGGGTTCAAATTATTGACACCTCTTAATTTGCTATGTATATAGAATGAATTGAGTATATTATTGGATTCTAATTGCTTTAATTTGACTATGAAACTTGATATTATTGAAGATTGAGTATTTGATCATACTAAGATGAGGTGGAAAACACAAAATAGAGAAGTACTCTGGGATTGAAACGTTGGTGGAGTTGAGAATTTGACGGTACATGATGGTGGGCCGACGGGCTTTCCTTTAAATATTGAATATTGGATATATGGATGGGAGTGCATAAAAGGAGTTCTTATAAGATTATGCCGACGGGCGCCGACGGGCAATAGGTGACGACTCTTTTATTGAAAACCAACGTATGAATTTGAGTGATATCTACAACAGCAATAATGAGAACAATACAACATGCTAAGTAATGCCAGTTGATTGGTAACTGTATTTACAAAATATTAATTTGAAGTATGAAAATGCTGTTTACTGTTGATTACGGGATTTATTGGCTTTATCGATTTCTGCTTTTAATGATTATCGGATTTACTGTATGTACGTTTCATTGATTTTATCGATTGATCCCGAGCATTGATACTCTGAGCATTGATATGCGATATGGATGATATAGATATCGTATTGATTCATTGATGCATGGAGTAGAGATAGTAAATAAATAATGATACTGCTTATAGACTTATTGATACTATTTGATTTCTTGATATGTATTGACATTGCTGTATATATGGATTATTATTTGATAGGAAATTAGTGAAGTAGATTGAGATTTTATCGTATTGCTTTCCGATTGTTTTATTGACTAGAATACGCATAAGATTTTGATATTGATTTGATCGATTGTTCGTATAAGATTGATTTTACAGATGGAAGCGAACGTTTCTTTCGAGATTGATAGAGTATTGATCTGAGTATGAATTTATCGGAATCGAGCTATTGATTTCAATCGACTATTTGATTTCCGTAACTGCATTGATACTAATTTGATTTCCGCTGCATAGACTCATTGAACCATTGACTGTTATGGATGTTTGATTTGATACACTGACGATGGGGAAACTATATCGATAGCGTCGACCGTGCTCTTAGAATTCAGTTGAGTAAAGGCTTATGGTAGACCTGCTGGGGCTTTTTAAGGCACTCTTTTATATTGTGGTTACAATTTCAGGTCCGAGCAAAGGCAACTGAGAATGGAGTTCGATCAGTAAGGACTCAGACAAAATCACATTTCACTATGGAGCCTGGGGCGTACAATCTCATCCGATTCAATTAAAGGGCCTCGACCTAGCAGGATTCAGCTGTCCTGATACAACGATAAGGCCATATATGGCATTTGGAGGTCATATTGACCCGCTTAAGTGACATGGTTTCATCAAAATAGCGCTATTGCTTTATTTACCAATTTGAGTTCTTTCTCGCATGGTCCTGATGTATAGGGGTCACAGCTCACGTAAATTTAGGACCAACATATCAATATTAAATGTGTGAATATTATTATTTAAATTTAAATCGGATTTGACCCATGAAAAATAATGTGAAATTGGGGACACAAAAAGTATAACAGCACTCTATTATCATGAAATTGTGGTAAATTTTGTATGTGTTGTACTTAGGACAATTCTGTTAAGAAATCCAATTACAAATAAAAACAATTTCCTTATTGTTTTGGAACTTCCTCTTCTCGATCAGTTCGACATTAATAAAATGGTCAAATAGAAATTTTGGTTTCTGTTCTTAAGTGTAGGTAGACGATGCTGAGAAAACATTATTTATAAAGACTTAACGGATTTTTGAGAAATTTGCTGACACCTTGCTGTAATGCCCTTGAATCAAGAGTTTGCATTTTTCTGAGGAAATGCGTCAAAATGTCATTATTAGCCTCTACATTTAACAATGTGGGAGGAGTTAAATGACACAAAACGACTTAAAGCAAACAAAACAGTTAAAGGAGTTGAATCCAGTTGCTCATTGATCCTTGAAGAATAAGCAAAAATATTTGCGAGACTCTATTTATTTTCAAATTAAAGTGTGATGGCGTATGAACAGATGTGATGTGAGTCAATAAATTTATAGTGTATTTTTGAAACAATTTGCTCGATTTTAAAATATTTCATATTTTTAGAGTAAAACAGCTGCCTATTTGGCATAGATGATAAAACCGTAAGATTCAGGTTATGTATATACATTCTCGGGTAAACCAATTAGTTGGTTCTTGTAATTATTCTT